TGATGATGATGATGATGATGATGGATGTCCACAGAAAGGCAGACCACCAAATGCCAAACTTTCGGGTCTTGCTGATCTTAAAAGAAGAGCGATTTGTACCATTCCTTGGAGACTTTTCAGGGAGGCCAAGCCCACGAAGGAAAGTAAAATACCAGCCACTTCATTACATTTATCTCTCATCCTGGCAGAGACCAATTAACCGTTTCCAATAATCAACAAGAAGAAGTGTCCAGCTGCCTTTGCAAAGAGTTCTGATCGTCGAGAGATTGCAACCGCTCCTTCTTTCCTCCCCACCTTGTCCAATCACCCAGAAGCCTTTGCTGGGCACAAGTAGCCATTTTGTTCCTGACTCGAGTCAGCGGGGGATTGTGGGATTGCATCTTGCAGCTGCAAAGTGGGAAGCCCAAATTCGAAAGCAAAGAAGGAGGCAGTGGCGTGTCAGACATTTCAGATGCTTGGATCAATACAGAGAAAAGGAAATTAGCATGCAAGGGAAGGAGATGGGTTAGAGCTCAGCTGGAAAGCACATGCTTTGCGTGCAGAAGATGCCAAATCCAACCCTTCAGGTCTTCTTCGGGAAATGAGAATTGCCTTTTTCTATCAGAGATATTTGGAATAAACTCGAATAAATAAAAATTGGGCTCAGAGGAGAACTTAAGGTGCATCTACACTATGTCAGTAATGCAGTTTGACGCCGCTTTAATGGCCGTTGGCTCCGTCCTACAGAATCCAGGGATTTATCATTTGTTGGAGCACCAGAGGTATCTGATAAAGAAAGTTAAGTTATTCACAGAACTGCAAATCCCAGGATTCCATAGCATTGAGCCATGGCCATTAAAGCCATCCCAAACTTATTTCTGCAGTGCGGATTAGATCTCCGACCCAGGGCAACCCATGAGGTTTTCTTGGCAAGATTTTTTTCCGAGGAGGTTTGCCATTGCCCTTCTCTGAGGCTGAGAGAGAGTGACTTGCCCAAGGAAATCTCATTGGTTTATATTTCTTAAAAATATTATTATTGTTGTTGTTATGCTTATTTATATCCCCGCTTTTCCCCAAAACTGGGACTTAAGCAGGGTCACAATTTATTATCTGTATGTGTTCTACAATTCCTTGGATACATTTATTGGATACATCTAATTCAGTAAATACATGGAACTCCTGAGAGAGTAAATTTGTGTCAAATCTTAATATACAATTTGTTGCATTGTTTTATATATATATATATATATATACACACACACACACACACACACAGAAAGGAATCTGCATTTTACTGGTGTCCATTTTCTGCATATTTTGTGTGACTGCAAGCTTGACAAGCAAGGATGTTATATTTTTTGCTGGGGGAAATTGATGCATTGATTTTCTTTTTTCAAAAAAGAGGAAACAAGGCTTCCTCCGATGTCAGAGATTTTTGCTTTCGCCTACAGACCTCTGTTGCAAACACTGGGGAATTTGGAGTCCCTTGGGACCAGGCAGATTGCATGCAAAAGCGATGCATGCGATAGTGTTGTATTCTTCTGGATGGCTGGAAATCACAGAATCACAGAGTTGGAAGAGACCAAAAAGAAACGTGGAACGCTAGTTATGAATGGCAGCTTGTTCCTTCTGTGTGGGCCCAACATGTGCAAAGCAGGTTTACCCCAACATGCAACATTGTACGCTTCATCATGCAACGTTGCACACTTCGTCATGCAATGCTGCAAGCTCCATCATGCAACGTTGCAAGCTCCATCATGCAATGTTGCAAATGCTCAACAACAAAGGAAGGCTGTAGGCTACCTCCTAAGGGAACTTCATCATTGCGTAGTGGTTTGAACATTGGACGGCAACTCCGGAGACCAGGGTTTGAATTCCCGCTCGGCCATGGAAACCCATTGGGCAGGTCACATTCTCTCAGCCTCAGGGGATGGCAATGGCAAAACCTCCTCGGAACAAATCTTGCCAAGAAAACACCTAAGGGAAGTGAGAAACGACGTGAAGGCACACGGCGGCAAAGGGAATTGCAACAATTCCCAGTTACAAGATTGGAACAATGAGACAGTCATCTGCACACAGATCTAAATAATAGAGATTCGGTTGCATTAGGAGTGGAACGAACGCCTGTATTTGGAGAGAGGAGAGCACAGGATTGCAACCGTAACCCCAGGCAAAGCGAACATGAAGTTCCTCCTTCCTTCAGGTGCAAAACCTGAACAGCTTTTAGAGAAGTTAAATAGGAGTTGGGGCTGGGAAGAGGAATTGCAAGAAGACTAGGGAAATAGTCCTGTGTGGACAGAGAAATCTGAAACATGCTTGGGGCCAGAGATGGCAGATTTAACCCATCTGAGCCAGCATGGTTTGAGCATTGGACTACAACTCGGGAGACCAGGGTTCGAGTCCTGGCTCGGCCATGGAAACCCACTGGTGACCTCGGGCAAGGCATACTCTCTCAGCCTCAGAGGATGACAATGGCAAACCCCCTCTGAAGGAACGTACCAAGAAAGCCACATGGTATATTCACCTTAGGGTCACTATAAATCGCAAACACCTTGAAGGCACTCAACAACAACAAGAAAACCTGAGCAGAAGCTATTCGAAAGTTGAGTAGACCAGTTCAGTGTCACATCACAGAATATGTTGCAGAGAGGGACCATGTTGAATTCCTAAATGGAAGGAGCTGCAGAACATGTTACACAAATAATAATAATATTCTGAGTCTGTTGTTGATCTGGGGTGTTGGCCTTCCCTCCAAGCACAAATGTATATAGCTTGGCTCACTTGTCAGGGCCATCTGATTTGCAATCCACATTTTTAACCGTTCCACCCAATGCTTTCTGCCAGAGTAGAAATCCTAGAGTTGGAAGAGACCCCAAGGGTCATCCAGTCCATCTCCATTCTGTAATGCAAGAAGACATAATGGAAACACTCCCGACGCAAAGCCTCTGTTGAAAAACCTCCAAAATAAACCAGCCTTGGGGAGAAATTAAACCAAAAAAAGAGCTGCTAGTCCTCAACAGTCCTTGCAAATTGACTTAATCCATCCCATACATAGCCAAGCCCTTCTTTTAAAGCTAGTTGCTGCATTTACGAGGAGGGTACCGTATTTCCTTTTGACTATCACAACTGGTCCGATCTCTGTCAAAATCTCTGCCCCATAAGCTTGCAAAACCCTCTCCAGCGTATGTAGTGCCCACCTTTCTTTTTTAAAATAGGACTGCTGACCTTTCCTTTTTCAAGCATATGTACTGCCTGCAGTTTATAAGAGTACCCATGAGAAGAAATATTTGTTTATTTCTCCTTTTCCCATGAAACTCCTGCATTCCCCTCTCACACACTTTAAATCCAGAATTTATTTAAGTTTATTTCTTTCTTTCAAGGATTTATATCTTACCTTTCTCCTACAATGGGATTCAAAGTGGGCAAGGAGACCTAAGGTGCATCTCTACTGTAGAAATAGTGCTGTTTGACACCACTTTTGCGCCATCCTATGGAAACTTGGGATTTGTAGTTTGACAAGATCTTTCACCTTTTTGGTCAAAGAGGGCCGGTGCCGCACCAAACTACAGATCCCAGTATTCTGCTAGATAGAGCCATGGCAGTAAAAGCCGTGCCAAACGGCATGATTTTTCTACAGCGGAGATGCAGAATAGGCCCCAGGCCATTAGCACCTCTTTAAAAGGAAAAATAAATTAATACCTCCTTTAAAAGAAAAGAAAAAAAAAATTAAGACCTGCTTTGGCAAGAGTCCCAGAATTCAGCTAAAGAAGAAAATGGAAGGGGAAAAACAGATTGGAAACTTTTTAAGTTCACAGGTTAGGCAATCTTCCCAGGCCGCCGCTAAACCATATAAAAAATGTCTCCTCCTTTGTAGCTTTGCCATCCACAGGTTTCATCTCTAGCTAGAAAGTGGAGGATCTTTTTCACAGATGAAACGAAGGAGATTTGGATATAGCAAAGGACGAAGATGGGAGGGAGATTTGGCATAGAAAATTGGTAAGTTGCAGAAGAGGTGGCTTGGGGGAAAGAAATGACATCTGGAAAGCCTTCCCAATTTTGGAAATTTGGAAATCCTTCCCAAAGAGACTTGCTCAGTGTTATCGGTTTCTCTGAAATAGATGCCTCAAGCTAGGCTTTTCCATTTTTTAATGCTACAGGATGATACAAAAGAAAAAGCACTGAGGAGTTTTCTATCTGTCTAGCAGCAGGTTACTCCGGGCATTCAAAAAGCATTGGGGAAAATCCACTTTAAGCTCTTTGGCGCCTCTGAGAACATACAAAGCGAGCTTACAGACAGGTAGAAGGCCAAAAGGGACAGTAGGGAAGACAAGGGAAATGATTTCAGAACACGAACTCCATGCAGCTCTG